GTAATAATATGAACCATAAAGATTAAAAAAATATACATATACATATACATATACATATACATATACATATACATATACATACATATATATATATATATATATATATATATATATATATTATACAGAACTGAAACTGGTTTGGCTCAATGGATAGAGCATTGGCCTACGAACTCAAGGGTCCCAGGTTTGATTCTGGTCAAGTGCATGTACTTTGGTTGTGGGCACATCCCTGTAGGGGGTGTGCAGGAGGCAGCTGATCAATGTTTCTCTCTCATCGATGTTTCTAAGTCTCTATCTTTCTCCCTTCCTCTCTGTGAAAAATCAATAAAATATATTTTTAATAAATAAATAAATAAAACTGAGAATTCTTAATATATATATATATAATTTTATATATATATATATATATATATATATATATATTATATATATTATTATTTTTAATATATTATACAGAGACCCAACCCAGTTCCAGGCAAGCCTCTGGAGCATCCACTCTCTTACCAGGGAAATCTGGACGGTCAGGCAGAAACTCAGGGGATCCATGGAAGGCAGAGGTCTGAGGTGCATGCACAAGGGCAGGACTGATAGGAAGCCAAGATGGTCAGCTCAGCCCTGAGACTTCGCCCCATCCAAGCTGAACACAGAGGCTTTTGCAATTTTGCAAGTCTGATCCTTTAAGACTGTCTCCAATATAGAAGGTATTCTGGTGTAGACACAGCTGATACTTACATAATATTTGCCTGGAGGTCAATTCCTCCCAGTGATACCAACAACAATCAAGACTTAGCTACAACAAGGCTGTACACACAGTCCAAAAAGGGGAGCACCAAGAATGTCTACGTCAGGTAACTGGGGAGGCTGACCCCCCTAACCATGTAGGACACCAAGCACACAAAGCCACCCTACCAACTCAGGGAAGCAGTGAAAATGCCGAGACAAGGAAAGAGATCTCAAACAAAATAAATGGAGAACAAAAGACTGGATGTAGAGTTCAAAACCACGGTTATAAGGTTTTTCTTTTCTTATAAAATATGTATATATATTTTATTGATTTTTTACAGAGAAGAAGAGAGAGGGATAGAGAGTTAGAAACATCAATGAGAGAGACACATCAATCAGCTGCCTTTTGCACACCTGCTAAAAGGGATGTGCCTGCAACCAAGGTACATGCCCTTGACCGGAATCGAACCCGGGATCTTTCAGTCCTCAGGCCGATGCTCTATCCACTCAGCCAACCCGGTTTCGGCGGTAATAAGGTTTTTTAAGAATTTCCTAGAAATGGCCAATAAATTTAACGAGACCCTCAAGGATATAAAAAGGACCAACTTGCCGAAACCGGTTTGGCTCAATGGATAGAGCGTTGGCTTGGGGACTGAAAGGTCCCGGGTTCGATTCCGGTCAAGGGCATGTACCTTGGTTGCGGGCACATCTCCAGTAGGGGGTGTGCAAGAGGCAGCTGATCGATGACTCTCTCTCATCGATGTTTCTAACTCTCTCTCTCTCTCCCTTCCTCTCTGTACAAAATCAATAAAATATATATTTAAAAAAAGGACCAACTAGATATTAAACATACACTTACTGAAATAAAAAATATTATACAGAGACCCAATAGCAGACTAGAGGAATGCAAGAATCAAGTCAAAGATTTAGAATACAAAGAGGCAAAGGACACTCCTCTGGAGAAGCAAGAAGAGAAGAGAATCCAGAAAGTTGAAGATAGTGTAAGAAGCCTCTGGGACAACTTCAGGTGTACAAACATCAGAATCATGGGGGTGCCAGAAGAAGAGAGAATGCAAGATACTGAAAACCTATTTGAAGAAATAATGTCAGAAAACTTCCCCCACCTGGTGAAAGAAATAGATTTACAAGTCCAGGAAACGCACAGAACCCCAAACAGAAGGAATCCAAAGAGGACCACACCAAGACAAATCATAATTAAGATTCCAAGAGCAAAAGACAAAGAGAGAATATTAAAAGCAGCAAGAGAAAAACAGTAGTTACATACAAGGGAGCACCCATATGATTATCAGCTGATTTCTCAACAGAAACTATGCAGTCCAGAGAGGAGTGGCAAGAAATATTAAAAGTGATGAATAGCAAAAACCTACAACCAAGAGTACTCTACCCGGCAAAGTTATCATTCAGAATTGAAGGCTAGTTAAAGAGCTTCACAGATAAGAAAAAGCTAAAGGACTTCATCACCACCAAACCAGTATTATATGAAATGCTGAAAGGTATTCTTTAAGAAGAGGAGGAAGAAGAAAAAAGTAAAGATAAAAATTATGATCAACAAATACATATATATCAACAAGTGAATCTAAAAATCAAGTGAATTAAAAATCTGAGGAACAGAATAAACTGGTGAATATAATAGAATCAGGGGCAAAGAAAGGGAGTGGATTGATAATTATCAGGAGGAAAGGGGTGTGGGGCGTGCAGGAAGAGACTGGAATAAAATCGTACACCTAGCCGAAACCGGTTTGGCTCAATGGATAGAGCGTCGGCTTGAGGACTGAAGGGTCCCGGGTTCGATTCCGGTCAAGGGCATGTACCTTGGTTGCGGGCACATCCCTGGTAGGGGGTGTGCAAGAGGCAGCTGATCGATGACTCTCTCATTGATGTTTCTAACTCTCTATCTCTCTCCCTTCCTCTCTGTACAAAATCAATAAAATATATTTAACAAAAATAATAATAAATAAATAAAATCGTACACCTATGGATGAGGACAATGGGAGGGAGGTAAGGGTAGAGGGTGGGGTGGGAACCGGGTGGAAGGGAGCTATGGGGGGGGAAAAGGAAAAACAATTGTACTCATCTGAGCAATAAAGATTTGTTAAATTAAAAAGAAAAGAAAAAGAAAACTATAGTAACTAATGTATTTTATAAACATGGACACAAAAAATTATTAACAAAATTTAGCAAACTGAATACAAGATGATAAGAAAACATGCTACATCTATAATAATCTATAATAATAATAGCATAATATGTTAATTTTACTGGACAGCTGAACGACTTTTTTTTTTTTCTTTAATATATTTTATTGATTTTTCACAGAGAGGAAGAGAGAGGAATAGAGAGTTAGAAACATCGATGAGAGAGAATCATCGATCAGCTGCCTCTTGCACACCCCCTACTGGGGATGCGCCCGCAACCAAGGTACATGCCCTTGACCGGAATCGAACCCGGGACCCTTCAGTCCCCAGGCCGACGCTCTATCCACTTGAGCTAAACCGGTCCCGGCCTGAACGACTTTCTGGATGTCCTTCCAAACAACCTTCCGGATGAAGTTGGGGCTGGGCTGCAAGGTCTGAGGCAAGCCACTTCAAGTGCAAGGGCAAAGCCCTTTGCACGAATTTCATGCATCAAGGCTCTAGTTATGAATAAATGGCATTTATTCCAAAAATTCAAGGTTGGTTTAGCATTCATAAATCAATGTAATTTACTATGTTAACAGATTTGAGAGAGAAAAACATGTGATTATTCGACTAAATTCAGTAAAAACGTGATAAAACCTAATATCAATAAGTCACATAGGTATGATATATAACATGGTGACTATAGATAATACTATATTGCTTTTTGAATGTTGCTAAGAGAGTAAATATTAAAAGATCTCATTACAAGAATGAAATGTATAATTATGTATGGTGATGGGTGTTAACTACTGTAGATGTGTTGTGGTCATTTCACAATATGTACACTTATTGAATTAAAAAAAATAAGCCCAATATCTATTATTAAAAATCTAAGTAAACTAGGAAAAGAAGGGAATTTCCCCAACTTTATAAAGAGCATTCTAAAATATATATAGCCACTATCATACTTAATGGTGGAAGACAATGCTTTTCCCCTAACATCAAGAACAAAGTAAGAATGCCTCATTACTTCTACTCAACTTTATATGGGGGTCCTAGCCTACCTAGTACATCAAGAACAAAGTTTAAAAGAAAACAGATATTAAAGGAGAAAATAAAGCTGCCTCTATTAGCATATGACAGATTATCCTATATAACAAAGAGATAATATGCAAATAGTCATCATGCCCTCAGGTCATCACACCTTCAGGCCATCACACCCTAACTGCTCAGGCACTCTACACTGGAGAGAAGGGAATAGGGAACAGCCAGGCACAAACGAGAGAAATGGGACCAGCCAGGCTGCGACCCAGGAGAGGAACAAACTGCCTATCTTGTAGTCCCAGGCGCCAACACCTGCGGCCCAGGCAAAGGTACCCACCCATGGTCCCCTGCAGCTGCAGCTGACCCTGGCAACGCCCGTCCCGGTTCTGGGTGCCTGCGGCTGACCAGAGGAGGGTATCCTGGGACCTGGGTGAGGGGTGAGGCAGAGGCAGTTAGGGGCAATCAGGCTGGTAGGGAAACCGGGGAGATCAGGTAGGCAGGCAGAGGTGGTTAGGGGCAATCAGGCAGGAAGGCAAGCAAGCAGTTAGGAGCCAGTGTTCCCAGATTTCGAAAGGCAGTTGGACATCCCCCAAGGGGTCCTGGATTGGAGGGGGTGCAGGTGGGGCTGAGGGTTTCCCCCGACTCCCAGTCCCTGTATATGAATTTCATGCACTGGGCCTCGAGTATATGTAGAAAATCCCAAAGAATGAACAAAGAAAATCTATGAGAATGAATCACTGCTAATAAACTATTTGATAAGTCAGTCAGGAACAAATGAAAACTATTGATTAAAATTAGATATAAAAATTAGCTAGCTATCGATTTTAATTTCTCTTTGATTCTCAATCATTCAATAGCACATGTGATTTATTTCTTAAAAAGCTTGATTAATTCTGAGATGAAAATGAAAGAGATGAATATAAAATTGGAGCTTGTTTATTTAGTCAGGTGAAACTGTCATTTGAAATCAAAATTATCTTAAACACAGTCAAATATCATGCAAATAAAATGAGTTCTAAAAAAAATATAGCTAGCCATGGGAAGTTAAAGAAAAAATAAGTTGCAACCTATAAAATTCTCACGAAGTATACCTACCTCTCTGGTTCGAAGGAGCTGTGCTTGCTCAATTTTAGAGATGATTTTCTGTACTTCGACAGGGACCTCAAGTTTAGAGACCTGAAGGCCCACTTTGGGCATGATGGTGTAATCCTCAACTTCACTTTCTGAATCAGATTCATAATCTATCTTATTTTCCATCTTGATCAAGTCGAGTGATTTTCTTTTTCTTCTTTATTTCCTCCTCAGAATATAGGCAAATGGTAACAAACGTGTCCACGAGGAAGCTAGAAGAAGTCTTTCTGCTCTCAGAAAGGGGAGATTGTGGTTTACCTCGCCACTGATTTGTTGCTAACCATGGTGTTCTGGCCCTGGTGACGTCATAATAGACCAGTTGTGACATAATCATTGACTCAAACATTCTAAAAGTGCTTACTATAAGCAGAGAACTAGGCATTCTATATGCTGTGATGGTAGAAGGGTGAAGGGGGGAGGGTGGAAAGAACAGACAACGGGAATGATAAAAGAAATAGAAATATAGCCCTGCTTAAATGAGCTTAAAAATCTAGATGTTAGATTCAAGATCCAGTGTATCAAATGTAACTCCTGGTTCTTCTCTCTTCTTGAAATTTTGCTTAAGAATATTTAAGCCTGTAATGGAATAATTGTATTACAACTTCCTCAGCTGCCCCTCAACTTTTCCTAGACATCTAGTAACTTAGAAGATCTTATTTGAATGATGACTATACTCTGCACTGCCTAGTTACCTGTTTTTTTCAAGGAACCTGACTGAAGAAGGCTTTGAAGTTCCATAGTTGGCTCCAGAAATGGAAGGGTACTACTAGAGGCTACTTTCTAACTGAAAAAGGAGTACTTTGGAAAGCTTCTTTGATTGCAGTGGATATGAAAGGATATAGGAGGCTGGAGAAATTAAAGGACAATGGTTTTGTTGGCTGAATAGCTTTCTTATTTTTTTAATGCAAAATATATGAAAAAATACAGAAAGTAAATATAATCATGTATCTATCAACCTAGAATGAACAAATATTAACATTTTGTCATATCTGCTTCGGATTTTTTTTTTTAAATTATTGATTTGAGAGAGGAATGGAGAGGGTAAGAGAGATAGAAACATCTATGATGAGAATCACTGATTGGCTATCTCCTGCACGCCCCTCCTGGGGATGGAGCCTGCAACCCGGGCACGTGCAATCAAACCCAGGACCCTGCAGCCCGCAGGCTAATGCTCTATTCACTGAGCCAAACAAGCTAGGGTTGCTTCAGATCTTTTTAAAAGAAAGCATTAGATATAAGATGAAGTCCCATGGTGTTCTCCCCAGACTCCTCGCTTTCCCTCTGTCCCTTTTTAAAGGCAATGACTACCATGAATTTGATATCTTTATGTCTAGTCTATGTTTATGTAGTTTTACCACTGGTGTATATGTTAATAAACTGTATAATATTGTTTTATAGGTTTTACATTTTATATAAGTTGAGAATGTATTACTTAATTTCTCTATAAGAACTTCCAATCTTGAGTCCTTACTGTAACCTTATTGTAAATTTAGTCCTACATTGAATCCTTGTTGTAAACTTGTAAAGTCAAACAACTGATATATTGCAGGCTTTCAGAAAAAGAGGCAGAGTATCATAAAGCAATTGTCTTTTAAAAATATCAATATACAGAGAGCAAATTAGATACTTTTCTTTCTCTTTAAGATCCTGTTATCTAAGTTACTTCCTCTGTTTTCCTAAGTCACTTTGTAAACTTTCTATTATAGTACTTATCTCATTAAGTATAACTATTATTTGTCTCTACCATTAGTGCAAACTCAAAATCAGATGATATACTTAGTTATCTTTTTCTGACATTTGATGTGTTTTTTCAGTTTCTCTACAGATACTGTCTAAATTTGGATATCTATTATAATTTGAAACTTTTCTAAGCCCCAGAATACTTTCTTTTTTTTTAATTAAAATTTTTCTTTTATTTGTTTCAGAGAGGAAGGGAGGAGAGATAGGAATATCAATGATGAGAGAGAATCATTGATTGGCTGCTTTCTGCAAATCCCTAGGGGAATCAAGCCCACAACCTGGGCATTTGCCCTTGACTGGAATAGAACGCAAAACCCTTCAGCCCACAGGCCAATGCTCTATCCACTGAGCAAAATTGGCCAGGGCCAGAATACTTTCTTTCATTGTTCACTGCCCATCCTGCCCCTACTCATAAACTATTACTCCCTCCTTTTCTGTAAATCACAATTAAGTGTTTTTATTCAAGGAAGTTCATGATGTTTTCTGAAAGGATTACGATTCAAGAAAATTATTTATTTTTATTTTTATTTATTTATTTATTTATTTATTTATTTATTTATTTTGCCAGTTGATGTTACTTTACTACTCCAGTAGGAAGACCAAATTATTTATTTTTATAATTGTGAGGTTTGTGAAAATATCCAGCATTTCTTGTCTTTACCAATCAACTTGTTTAAGTATTTGTTGAGAATATTACATTGTGAGATCCTTAAATTGTTTTTCACTTGATTTCTTTACATTGCTTACTCCAATAGGCATTCACAAAGCAGCCAGCATGCGTATCCACTAAACTAATTTAGCATTATTGTGCTCTCATATTTTTTATGCAGCATGGAATTCATCAGCAACTAGAAATGAAGATTTTTTTAAAGCAAATTTAAAACTCTCCTTCCCTTTCAATTTGAGAAGCATTTTTTTGAGACACTACTATGTGACTACCATTATCCTAAACTGTGAAGAATATAGTAGGATACTTGTAAAGAAACAGAAAAAAGAAAATAACAAGATAGAATATAATATTCGAGTGCTAACAAGGGACATGAAGAAGAGATCTGTGGGGAGTACAGTCTTTGGGAAAACCTTATGGAGAGAGAAGGTTGATTGATAAATGAAGGCTTTCCAGATAGGGAAGACACTTTGAGCCATGGCTTTGGAGGTGAGTGCTGAGCTTGTATTTCAGGGGGGAGAGTGAGGAGATTGGTTTAATCGATATGAAGTAATGTTGCATTTACTGATGATCAGATTAGGAAGAGTATGAGACACAAATATCAACAATTTGATGGGGGAATTAATTTACTATCTAATTGAAAAAGTAAAGAAATTCACTTGAGGTAAAGTAAGGGAGATTACATGGGTTTAGAATGGTTTTGAAAGCAAGTAACAGCAGTTTAGTGAAAATGAAACCTTCAGTTTACATAATAGAATGGAAAAAATCCATTGGAAAATACCAAGACATGATTCTTTCCAAAGTGAGTGCCTGAACCAGGATATAGAAGTGGGACTGATGAGGGAGGTATACTAAGGAATTTGGGCAATCTAACAGAAATGTAGGAAATTTTGTTGTTTTGGCTGTTCTGCCTGTGGAATAGTCTTCTATCTCACTGCTTCACTAATAAACTTACTTTCACTTTACACTCCAAATATATATATATATATATATATATATATATATATATATATATATATATAATTCCATTTCTATTGATGGCAAAACATCAAGAAGAAGCTAACCAGATTATTATAAAGTAGCTCGATATTAAGGGGAGCTGTGGGTATTTGATTAAAAAAAAAGGGAGGGGGCAAAGTTCTTTAAAGGTGTGTCTAAACGAAACCCGCCCTCCTAGAAGGCGTAACTGTAAACGGGGGATAATCTCATTTATTGCAAGTAATGGTTTTAAGATGACTGTAAAATACTTAGAATGGTGCCAAACACACAGTAAGGGTTTAATACAGATGCTGCTTTTTTATCCTTCTCTTATTTTTTTTCTGTGAGCCACCACCTTTTCGGCAGGGTTGGGTATTCTTTCAGAACACTTCGCGCACACACAAAAACAAACAAACAAAAAAGAAACAGAACATTTCGCACAAGCTCGGCTTTTGATCAGCTCTAGATTGCGAGCTATGAACACTGCGACATGATGGCCGTTGTGCAGTGGCTGACAGGCAGTAAGACCTTTGCACACCCCCGTCCGCCGCACAGAATGGTGCCTTCCTGGACCGCTCCCCCTCCCCCTTCCCCTGGGGCAGAGGGTAGTACATTCCATTAGCCGAAGGGGAGGAAAAGGTGGTGCCGGAGTTGAGTGGATTTTTTTTCTCTCCCCCCCCCCCACCTCCCGGAAGCAATTGTTCTTTAGAACCGGAAACAGTTGATGTTTCAAAAGGGGTGGGACTGGGCGGGTCAGAGCTCGGCGACTGACGGCGGGGGAGGAGCCGGGGCCGCTGCCGGGTGGTTGGGCCGGGCGAGTGTCCTTATCCTTAGCGCTCGGGGCTCGGGCCTGTAAGCCATTCGGAGCAGCAGCGGCGGCGGCGAGGAACGATTGGGTCGAACGGGGACGGCATGTTGCTCTTCGTGGAGGTGAGTGGCCCGGATTCCCTTCGGGGCTGGCGTGTGGAGGAGGCGCCGGCCGGTCCCCCCGCCATGTGACTTTCCAGGCCGTGCACGCCGCGGGGCCGGCGGCCGAGAGGCTGACACAGCACCTGGGCCTGCGGCCGCGCTCCGGCCGGAGGACGCCGTGGGCGGGGAGGCCGGCGCGGGGAGCACTGGAGGCGGAGAGGGAGCCTGGTCCGGCGCGGCCTGAGGCCCGGAGGACGCGGAGAGCTCCCATATGGAGCTCCCGGCCGAGGCGGACAGGCGGGGGCGGGGCCTGCGGGGAAGGGCGGTCAGGTGGGCGCGCTCCGGGGGGTGGGAGCGGGGCGCGCGGGGCCCGCCGGGAGCGCCGAGCAACATGTGGGGCCGCCGGGCGGAGAAGGTGAAAGTCGGTAGGTTCGCTGGGACACAAAGTTGCAAGCTTCTTTTTCGCACCCCCCTGTTCCCACCCCCCACCCCAATTTTGTTGGGTCCCCCCGACTCTTGGCCTCTGGAACGTTCCTGTGGGTGTAGAGTGAGTTGCTGTGAACCGAGGCGGAGAAGCAGCCAATAGGGTTCCGAAGGCTTGAAAGGCACCGCTTTGACCTTTTGTAAAAGTTACTCTCGCAGCGACTCCGGAATGAGGACTTGGCTTTTTTTTATTTGCAACATTTTATTTTTTTAATTTGTGTGTGTTTTTTTGCTTGCTGGTTTTTTGTTTTTTTCTTACTATAAGCCCTTTGCAAGGAAAATTCCAAAAAGGAAAGACACCGAAGTCCAGGGAAAGGCAGTTTTTGTATTGTTACTTAACATTATGAAC